GCTTTTCCTGGATCACTCACTGAAGTCAAGGCAAACGCATCTATCTCCCTTTAAGCCCTTGGAGATTCAGCTCCTTGCTCTTCCCAACACCATTTCTACCTTAAACCTGCTTGCAGCAGCTTGGCATGGGTGGCAGTGAATTGCTTTAAATACAATATAAATCTAATTGCCCTTATAAGGTAATTTGCATTTTAGACTTAAATGGTAAATTCTGCATAACTTTTTACCCAAGAAAACAGACTGGCAGGCAGCAGGCAGCAGATCGCTCCCTTCCATTGTTCTGTATGCCCCTAACAAGCAGATCGACACACACCCATGACCTGGAATAGTAAAAAATCCTTAAAAAGGAAATGTTAAAACTGCAATACAATATTTGTCAGTCTTTACATGTAGCAATTTAAATAGATAAGTGATACAAAGATAGGCTTTGAACTTTTAAACAATCTCTTAAATTTACAAAATACTTGAAACAGTACAACTTTGGTGTTAGAAGGCTATGCTAGATTCTGATATATTTTAGGTGCTCTGCGTAGGAATTCTGTAGAAATCTTCTTAAAATGTCATTTTCTAATCACAAAAAAACCTATTTACATGACTCAGGATTATCACTTACATTATACAGGACTACAATCTGGAAAAGAAGAAAATTCACACATTGGAAAATAGAAACAACAAAGAATCGCCCAATTTGATCAGTGCGCTAGGGAGCCTGGGCAACATGATCATTTTTTAAGACCAAAATCACAATAATAGGACGTAAGAAGCAGATTACTGAATCACAGCTATCAAATAGACATTTATTTCAACCACTGACATACCACACAAACTGCCAGCCACTGTCGTCAGACCTGGACTTGATCCTGCGAGTCCTCAGGTGCGAGTTTTGAAACATCACAAGCTGGGCTGGGCATTTCTGTCATTTTCGGATCTGCGGGATGGAGCTCAGATTCGAGATGCAGCTTTTGTGGATGCAGTGAAATCACCATCCTCCTGCCTTTCCCATGTGGAAGCAATGCCTCCTCTCAGCTCTGTAGCAGTGCAAGCCTCCTGATCTGGCTCCCTGAGTGCAGACAGGTCCCACTGAGAAGGGCCAGCAGTCTATGAATCCAGCAATGCAGACCATTTCTCACGGGCGCCCTATTACAGAAGGGGCTTCAAGTGAAGAGTGACACCACAAACAACTTGAACACCACGTAGACTCTACCTATCAACAGAAGTTCTTCTAGCTTCCTGTAAAGGCCATATGTTTACACCCACACCTCAAAAATACTGTGATAACCACCTAAGTCTGTTATTATGTTGCCATATCTCACATCACATTTTCAGTATTGGTTTCTGAGGTTTAGTTTCGAACATTTTATTGCTGTAAAAAAATCCAGATTTTTGTGTCCCTTGCAAAATCTGGATCTTAGAAGCACAGAATGAAAAAGTGCTTAAAAATCTGTTTGAGACAGGCAATGTAGCCCACAGAGACAGCACAGGGCAGGTCCGGCGTGACAGTAAGATGCAGTTTCTAAAACAGGTTCATATGAGGAAGAGGTCAGGGTGGGAGTATAAGCACAGGACCTTTAAACCTATGGAGCAATGGGATTATCTGTGGTGCACAGATGTCTTGATTCACTGATAAAAAATATAAATTAAAAAATTACCACCTGGTGGTTCATTACTTATCAAAACCACCCCCTCACACACCTATTATAGCCCTGGATTTGCATGTGGAATTCTATCCATATAAATTAATCATCTGAATGTAGTATAGGAGTTTACAACCATTTAAAACAATGACTGTGTCACACTTGAAATCTAGAAACTAAAGTACAAGCCTGTTCACTTACATTGATTTTTTTGCTTTTATTTTACAAAAGATAAAAATATGAATATTTAATATCCACCTGCACAGTTAAATATATATATAACTTTATCACAACCAACATTACGAAAACATAGGTTAAAAATATCATTTGTTTGCATTTAAAATGTCACAATCCATTCAGAGAGCTACGACAATGTTCTCCAGTAAGAATATCTTTATATTAACAGCCTTGATAATGCTTTCACAGACCAGGATCTCAACTATGACTGGATTTACTATGTTTCCACAGCCTGCTAGTCAGGGATGTGGTAGCTGGCAGAGTGACATATCTGCTCACATGCCGCAGTCTTCAGAACCCTAGGGTGTGCACTTCAGAAGAGCTGCAAGGACAGAACGACTTGATGCTTCAGCTGTCCGGTGTTTTTAACTATCAGATTATTTCAAAGATGCCACCCAGTAAACTAATGCTGTAGCAAAGGCTACAGCTTTTACAATTAGGTTCAGTACATATAAACTGAAATCACTGATACATAAAGAATTATTTTCTTTTCTTGCTCAGCGCATCAGCTACATCTCATCCTGCAAAGTGTTACTCAATTCTGTGTCTGTTATTAAAAATTTCCAGTTGTGCACAATACTCTATTTAGAACCTTTAACAGTTTACAGGTATCAGCCCTGTACTGTACTGGCAGAATGAAGACCAGTGTACTCCTGACACAACCGCCTCAGAGCCCTGCATCTTCCACATGCTGCAAACTCCACAGTGGGTTTCAGAGGCCAGGGCACCAGCTGGAGGAGTGACGCCATTCCTCAATGCCAGTAGTATGGATTCCAGCCGCTTGGCAAGTGGAGGAAACCCAAATGGACTAATGCTCACTCAGCCCTGGCCATGCTGACCAAATCATGCACTAGCCCTGGTTACTACTGGGCGGACGCTATTCGAAGTCACTTCCATATGTATCCTTTGTGGGTACTACAGCAGTGCCTCACCTGGGATTAGCGCTAACCAAGGCCCTAACCATGAATCAACCACATTTGGAGAATCCTGGCTATACTTCATTTCTGAAAATGAAAAACCTCAGTCAGGATGTCATCTAAACTCATTTAAGGGAACACAAAACATACTAAATAATCCAATTTCATGCAACACTGTAATTCAGTCTCCCCTGTTTCTTTTCGCCTTTAATACTTGTGCCCCAGTTTCAGCTAACCTAGGCTGATAGATGTGATCTCCAGCCTTGCTCTCAGCTACAGACAGCAGGATCAGACAAGCCTACCATACTCCTCTCCTGTCCATGTATGAGCAGCACTCTGTTAACAGTTGTTGTAGGCCATTTAAGCCCTGGTATAACAACGATTAAGGAAAATTATGTGTAAAATTGCTTGTTTTTACATGCAGTTTGTCATTATTTGTGCTGTAACCAGCAGCTTTGTGTGAAAAGCTTTACTTTTAAAGCGCTGCACGTCTAAAAACAGAGCCACATAAGCACATAAAACGTGCTGCTGGGAACTCAACCACCATTAAAAAAGGAACAGGAGACATTGAAGAAGCGTAATATTTACCCAACTTATATGCGAGTTGAACGACTCTTTTGCCCAAGATCAATTCAAGAGCCCTGCATCTCAGAGGTACAGCACCAATAGCTTACAGGAGTCTGTTCAGCTATGAGTCTTTCTCTGTTTCTGCCAATACTGTCATCTGTCAAGTTAACCAACTTGCAAAGCAAACAATGGCTTTTATATGGAATTCTCTAAGCACTTTGAGGGTAAATGGCACAGAAAAGAGTACAATGTCACACAACAGATACTGCACAAACCTATCTGATCATCCTGTGCTTCTCCTGAAGACTTATTAGCTTTTGCAAATTCCAAAGACAGATAAAAGAAAACCATGCAGAGCCAATCAGTGAGTCACAAAGTAATGGGAAAATCTACTTAATTCAAGACCTAGAAAGACCAAGCTTATTTTATCAGATCTAAGAAATGATTGGTTCAACTTCACAAAGTTTAAGTGGATGAAAAACCACCAGATCTGGGCTCTGTAAGACTGGATCCATGCGCACTGGGCATTGCCAGAGCCTGCAAACCAATACAATTCAGCAGCAGGTCTGTACAGAGACAAAAGCTCCTGGGGTCGGAGCTCAGCACTGCCCCACAGCTGCCCAGCAAGGGCCTGAGCGGGAAGCGGAAGTCAGGAAGAGTGTCGCCTGACGAGTCAGATCGCGGGAGACAACAGAGCTGAGCGAGCACACAGACGGGGCTTGAGACTGGGTCTCCTATAACCAAGACCAGCCTGAGCTCACAGGTGAATATCAAGAAACCACCAGGTGAGTCCAGAAAATCTTACACAAAGCTGAGTCAGAGTGAAAGTCTTTCTTATTGCATTATTCATCATTTCCAAGTCATTGCAACTTATGCGCCAATTTTTATGACTCTTTCACTAGGAACAGGGCAACAGGGTGATTAGTGCATCATCTTCTACCCCGAGTTGGTCGAACCCTCCAGAAGAAAAAAAGGACATTCCTGTCTTCGGTGCCATGGCTGTGTCCTCAGACTAACCTAATTCATTCAATTCAAATCTTTCTCACCTCACAGCAGGTGTTCTAATTTCTGTCTGATGGAAAGCTCAAGCATGTTAAAGCGAACACTGCGAACTTGGCATTGGCTGGTTTCTGCCTCGCCAGTACAGGAGCTGGACTGCGTGTGCAGTTCACTGCGCTCACAGGGAGACAGCACAAACACGCAACACTGCATCCAGCCCCCTTCCTGCCTGCAGAACAGGCACGCTTAGCACAAGAGCATCAGGACAGCATTAAGAAGCACCAAGCAGCTGCTACATATTAAGTGGATGAAAAACGTTTTGTATATTTTAAAATGAATGCACCAATTAAAACCAAAGAGCAGCAGTACATTTCAAAGACAGATTCCCATTCATGTTCAAACAGAAGGTGCCCATCTTCCCCTTGCATAACAGCTTGCATCACAACAATTTCTAGTTTTTTTGTTTTACCACTGATTAAAAAAAAAACACTGTCTCATGTCATTAAGACACATCCCTAAAACAAAATGCAAGTTATTTATGTTACAGGATGGGCATAAAATTACATCGTGAACAGTACACTTTTTTTAAAACATTATTCTGTTTTTAAAATTTTTATAGACTTTTTGTCATTATTGCCACACTCAAGGGAAAAAAAAATTAAACTAGGAAAAATAATTTAAAAAGTGTAAAAATAAATTTTGGAAAAAAAAAATAAAAAGTGGTACATTGCTGTGCTGTCAAGTCATGAACACAAATATAAAAACCTCGGCCAAAGAGGCTCAACAGTTTGCAACCTGGCTGCTGGCTGTAGCAGGTGGATATTTCCGTAAAAGTGTTCCCCGCTCCGGTGTTCATTTCGGGAGAGGCGGAAGGGGGGGAGGGGGTTCTGCCGGCAGGGGGGGGGGCCGGGAGTTGCTCCCCCGGGCCCCCCCGTGGTATCTGTACTCGCCGTACTGGGAGCGGTAGTCGAACACCGGCGGCTGGGCCGGCTGCACCCCCTGAGCGCTCAGCAGCGAGTTCAACATCTCGAACGTGTCCTGGTACTCGTTGGACTGGCCGCCGCCGCCCCCCGCGCTGTGGCCGTTGGTGTCGGCAGAGCCCTTGTCTGCCTTGGGGTGGGGGAAGGGCAGGTGGTGCTGCTGGGACAGCACCGGCAGCCCGTCTGGACCCAGGCCCAGAGGGTGGGCGGAGGAGGCGGAGGACGGGGGCAGCTGATAGGAGTTCCTGGAGGCCTTGCTGGGCCTGGGCTGGTGAGAGGCGGGCGAGGGCTCCTGGGAGTGAGGCCGCTTGCGGGAGGAAGAGGAGGAGGAGGAGGAGGAGGAGGAAGAGGAGGAGCCGGTTTTGGAGGCGTCCCCGGAGGACCGGACACCTCCCGGATGCTTGTGTGAGGAGGACAAGGAGGAGGAGGAGAGGGACGAGGAATGGTGGTGGTGATGGTGGTGATGGTGGTTGGACGAGCGCTCCCTGTGCTTGTCCCTGCTCTTGCCCTCCTCCCCGGCTGAGCCGCCCCGTCTCTCCGGCACCTTGATGCGTACCTTGAAATCCTCCGGTCTCCCCGATCCTGCCCCGCTGCCTCCTCCCCCAGCCAACGGCAGACGCACCTTCAGGGAGCTCTTGTCCTGCCTCTCCTTCTCCAGAGGGATTTTGAGAATGATGGGTGAAGGGTTCGTGGTGTCGGAGCCGGGGGCGGAGGAGGCCGGGTGAGACGTCGGGGGCTTGTCCTTTTTCTGTTGTCCAATGAGAGCCTGGGCAGCTGTGGCGTACTCTCTCTTCACACTGGCCTCCATGTTCTCCAGCTTGCGTTTCTGGGCCGCCAGCACCTCAGCGTGCTTGGCACGATATTCGCTGAGGGACACCTTGGCAGGCACGTGGAGGCCCTGAGAGAAGCCTAATTCATTGTTCTGCACAGGATCTTGGCCAGTCCTTTGGGCCTCCAGCTTGCCGGGCTGCCAGTACTGCTGTGACCCAGGGGCAGACGTTGAAGGCTCTCTGTCACCCATAGAGGATGCTGCCACAGAGCTGGCAGGAGGGGCGGAGAGACTCATCAGCCCTGCCAGCGTGGTCTCGGAGGATGCCATGGAGATCATGTTCATCATGGCCTCCGTCTGGTCCCCTTCTTCCTGCACCTTGGGCTTCTTCACCGTTTGCCCTGCCTGTCAGAAGGGGAAAGTGATTACCATCACTTCTCAGGGCACAAAATACACACAAGGCTCTAGATTGCCAGTGCTTCCGAGTAGAGGTGGCCACACCCCCAGAACTCAGACTTAGAAATCTAGAGAATTTGACAGTCTTACAACAAACGCTGCTAGCTTTCTTCCTGTAGTATTATAGAGGATAGTGAGGAGAGAAAGCCGAGTTATCTTCTGAGAATAGGCTCATTAAAAAAAGTCAGATGTAGCCTGCAGGCAAAGCACATGAAATCTGAATAAAGAAATAATTTTTTCTCCTACAAGGCATTAATGGACACAAAGAATTACTAAAATAAGGGGACTAGGGTTTTTTTTCTGCTGGAATTACCTTCCAGTTACGGATGCGTTTCAACCGGCTGGGAGTCTTCTCAAGGATCTGCAGGAATTCATGTGTGAGCTCTGTGGGATTGAATCGTACCCACGAATTAGATTGGCTCAAGGGATCACAGAAAAAGCACAGTTTCCTACAGTATTTCTAAACAGTGTCATTTATTGTTTGTAATTCTTTTTCGGTTTGCTAGTTCCCAGGATTTTCCTGGAAAACAGAAAGCGTCACTCTGCTTCTACCAAGCTAGGGCATTACAGAAAAGAAATAACGACTGAAGAACACCTACCATCCAACAACTCAAGGGTAACAGTACGGTCCACGTACTCCCACCAGTGCTTGCTGTCTGTGGAGACTGGGATCTCCCAGTTTGACCATTTACAGGCCAGGTGGATGCACACACAGGCTACTATGGGAGGACTGTACTGTAGGCAGAAGGTGGTCAAGTGCAGGCTGCCCGAAGGTGGACCGAGAGGAACAGCAGTGGAATAAGGAGAGACAGACTGTCATTTTAAGGCTAAACATTGTCATGATTCTAGGCTTTTTGATAACGTGTCAAATTCCATACTCTGAAAACAATACTTCTGCTTTCTAAGCATGCATATATACTACTTTTTGAATCTGAATTTGAATCTACCTATGTAGATACTGTAAAGGATTTTTCCAGTTTAAAAGACAGGCTTAGCAGCTCTGCTTGTTTCCTGCAGCACAACTAGAAGTGCCTACCTGTTGGTAGCCATGAAATACGACGTCTGAGCCAAATCCTTGCTTGCTGAAAAAGAGCAAGCCATATAGAGTTAAACTGCAGCTCAACAGGTGGAAATGATCTCCATCTCAAGCTAGCTCCTTTAATAAAAAATGGGTTTGTGACCTTTCCTTTACACTTTAAGACCCTTCTCTGCCTATGTCGCAAACCCTTGGTTTAAAAAAGAGAACCTAAAATATGTACCTAAAAATAGAACAGGAGAAGGATTTCTATTTTTATTCTTGTTGGAAGGAATGCAAAACAGATAAGTGAAGATTTAAAAAACTACCCTTCAAAGCTGGGATCTGCTTACAAACAGACACGCAACACTTTTTTTCTTCACAGGCACATCTGCTGCAGTGTTTTCTGGCTAGTTCTGGCCTCTGTACTGTCAGTCTCCTTTCCCACATGGGACCAAAAAAGGCTGGAATGAAATAATTAAATGGGGCATCCGAAAACGAAGGCATAACCAAGCCACTGGCCACTTCCATTCCAGTGATAAATATAATCTTACCTCTGACGAGCTGTGTGCACTTGACAACATGCGTGTGCGGGTGGTCAATGGTGATTTCGAAAGCTGGAAAAGGGAGAAACAAGAAGGGAATTGCGGTCAGTACTGCCACTTGTGACAGACTAGCCCACCTGCTCTCTGTATGACTGACAAGTACTGAGATGGAGTATGGCGCCTGATCAGACACGTAGGCTTTCAGAGTAAGAGGGGAGAGACGTGCAGCTCTTGCAGTGTGAAATGTAAACTCATCGTGGGATCGTGGAGACAATTTACAAAAAATAAGTCATCTCTTTAAATCTTCAGCTGGCAGGGCCTAGATAAGACAAATGAGTTAAGAAATTAGTTTTTCTTTTAATTGATAACTGTGTAACAGTAGCATCTTTCCTTCTCTTTTTTTAAGCCATTGTCACACGTCAGTTACGGGTGGTGATGGTGCTTTAGGCTGTGTTCATGAAATGAAGTGGATTTCTATAAAAATTAGTTGTTGATGAGTCATCTAAAGCAAGACTGCCTTCCACTGCTGACTCTACAACCATTAAGGACTACACCATTTGTAAAGGACCATCTAATCAGACTGCAACTATAGATCCACTGTTCATCTCTGCATTTACCATCATTACTAAACCTTCTATTGGTACTTATGTTGAATTTAATCACTTTCTGACTACATATAGCTACGTGACTAGTATTTAGAATAAATAGGATCAGAGGATTCCTACAGGACAAGGACACACCATTCTGTTGGCTCTCAGCTTAATCCGAGTCTGAGCTGTCTGTCTCAGGTACCTTGCCTGATTTCTACACCCACACAACTGTCATTATCCACCAGCACTGAAAGAAATCCAAGCTGTTTGTTTCTTTCCATTGAGAGACCCTACAGTTCCGCTCTGTTCTCTCTGCTTAGAGACTCCCGTCTTTGCAAGTCAAACCCTAGAATGTAAGTCAGCTGTTAGAAAAGCCACAACTATGTGAAGAGTCAAATATTTATCTCCTTCTGTGACTTGAGTCCATGGCTGCGACCCACATTGTGATTAGCTTAGCCCTAAAGTCCATTTAGTGGGGTTCACATATCAGACCAACGTAACCCTCCCACCAAGCTCTTCTAACCCTCCTGTCCATTTCACTTTGCATAGTTAATATCCTGCAAAAACTGTGCATCCTGCCTCACGCTGGTTTCAGGGTTCAATATCATGTAAGGGAGTGTGTTGTGTTCACTCCATTTGACCTCTTCCAAGAAACAGTTTTAAGAAAAGGTTTTGGTTGATTTTAACTGCCTGAGCCAGTAATACAGCGATTACCTCCCCTCATGACCAGCAAAATCACTCCCTGCATTTTCATATGGAAATATTCCGAGAGATCAAACGGCATACTAACAGGGCATGTTAACAAACTGATGTGCAGTCATGCAGGGAAGCATTTGCAGTTTTCAAAATTCTACTATCTGTTGTGCAAAAGCTTTGATTTTGAAACGCACTGAACCCTACTGTTGTCACAGACAGGTTATCTCTTCTGTCACTATAAATAGTTGTACACTTTCAGAAACATCTGCTCAGGACGATAGATCCAGGTCTTCTGATCATCACAGAAGACTAAAGGAAGAAACACACAGCATCCATCACCAGCTGTGCAAGGTAACTAGTGCCAAAGGCATGGCTTAAAAAAATGAAAGGGTAGTACTTTCATGTAATTATGAAAGGAGCAGACGAAAGGAACTGTAACACGTGGACGTTTGAATGGACAATGCTTGTTCAATTGGACAAGGCTGAAACAGTGGCGTCCGTTCTTCCTCCCTCCGCTGTAGACAAGAGTGAAGGTGGTTAATATCTGCAGTCCGCCAAGCACCATCTCTAGTCTGGGTGCCCAGAGAGCCCTCTCGCCTTCTCCACTTACCCAGGGTCTGGAGAATAATGCTCTCAAGAATGACCAGGTCTTGGGCTTGTTGCAGGTATGCCTGAGGTTGAGAGGACAGGCAGGTTACTCACTAGGAGGCAATCTTTCTCTTTTCTCTCTCTGTCAGTTATTTTTAAAGCAATAGTTGCACCATGTTCTTGGAGAAAGTTTCCGATCAAAGTTTGGTCCCTTAGTGGATACACCCCTTTAGATCACGGCTCTCTTAGATGCATGCCTTACAATTTTCTGTTGTGATGCATGTTTGGGTTTTAAAGTAGATTCCATTTAATGTCAAAAGGCTTCTATAAAGGACTTACAGGTAAACAAGAGGGGAAAGGCTGGTGGGTTGGTGTTCTGACATGGCAGCAGACAGCTGCAAACTGTCACTCCTTAATGATCTGAAGAAGAAGAGGCTGTTCCTTTGTCTGCTAGTTGAGACATTTTAAATGAAACCAATGACACTGGCTTCAAATGACATGGGAGTCATCTGAAGGCATCCCAGCCAGATGGGTCTGGATATAGCAACTGCAACAGATCAGAGAAGGTACATCTTTCAGGACATACATACAGACAAGGTCACCTTCAGGAATCATAATAAGATCAGTGATTAACGTACGAACTGTGTCTGATGGAACAACATGGTTAGCCCCTCTCTAAAAGTGGATCTGAGCGGGAGACTGGAAACAAAGTAATCCTGGGTGGCATTAAAAACACAGTTTAATTCAGGTTTATGGTATATGTAACCCGACGGGATCACTGATGTGAAAACCGAAGGCTTCCTTACACAAACTGTGAGAGAAAACAAGGTGTAGAACTGAGTTGCACGGTAAATGCACAATCCTATTGGGTAAAATACTATATCGTAACAGTATCAGGTAAGCGTATACTGTACATCTAAAGCCACAGAAGTGTGTTAAAAAAAAGAACCACTAAATTTTTTTGAGGTTTGATCTTTGAAGTAGAACTGCAGAACAAGTGTCATCTCAACAGCACATCTCAAGAGCCCCAGTTCCTTCTGCTCTTCTGCCCCAAAGCTAAACACCTCACCTGGGTCACATATGATAGGGAGAGAAGCGCAGACATTTAAATGAGCTTGGATCTAACAAGACTGACCTCTGAGAAGCAAGAACATAAGAACTGTTAGAAATCAAAAGAGGGGATTTGGCCTTTTAAGCTTGATTACCAACACATTGATCTGAGGCTCACATCAGGTTCAATAACATGGCTGGATAGCTTGTTCCAGACACCCACCACTCTTTGTGTAAAAGTGCTCCTGTTCTCAGGTTTCAATGCACTTCCCTGTAGTTTTCACTCAAGTCCACTGATTTATGTTTCCCTGTTGGTTCTGAAGAAGTCCGATGCACTGACTTTGTCAATGCTTTTTCAAGATTCTTAATACCCGATTCACAAGGCTCTCAACTCTTAGGATAACATGGTGCAACGATTGATTTAAAAAATAATAATGCAAAACAAAGCCTGTACATGTTATTAAACAACCAACACCTCAGACAGCTAAACAGGGCGAGAAATTCAGCAATCTCAGGCACCTGCTGGCACAGTGTGACACTGTGTAAGGGATGTTAGACAGAAGGGCTGTTACAGTGTGACTGTGGCCCGTTGAGGCACAATAGGTGCCCTGTGTCAAAGGAAAGAGAGGATTATTGCTATAATAATGTAATCACACGGTGGTGGTGGTGGTGGGGGGGTTGGGGCAGCTAGGAATTTCGCACCCTGTTGAAAACAGACACTCAATCAGTACGAGTGTGAATCTGTTAAGATCACCTGTGAGCAGTGAAAGGTACACAAGCTTGGTACACCTTAGGAAAGTTATCCTTACCTCGTTTACACCCAGCCTAGGCACAGATCACTGTGAACTCATCAGATCAAAGTGCTAGAAACACTTTCTAGCACTTTGGAAAACGGGGAAATTTATCTCAAAATATTCACTATTCCAATAATTTTCTTGTCACCCTGATCAACTAAATTATAACAGACAACACTGTGTATTTCTTTAAATCCTGGTGTGCTGGACTAAAATAAAACATAGGTCATGAATATGAAAACCAGATGTAAAAAACGATATTTTTATTTCTCCATAAGGTTGTCATTTTGCCTATAAGCTGCCAAGCATAAAAAACATGCAGGGGGTAATGCCTTTTTGACATTTCAAGTATGGACATCGTCTTAAATTAATCCAGACGCACATCTCATGTCTAATGCTGAGGGTCCGTGTTTTACTCAGGCAGAGGGAGGGTCATTTTCAGAACAGTGCTGGGAGGCTTGGGAGTCTTAGCACTTAGTAAATCACAGCCTGTCCCGTGTGCAGTGCAGTGGAATCTCAGATGAACAGAAAGTACTGGTGAATATATATATATTTTAGAGATAAAGGGCCATATTTACATCAAGTCTAGCATTAACCACATAAAACATGATCCTTGCACTGTAAAGACAAAAGAGATGCTTTTTGGAAGAAGCCACACAACCGCTCAGAACCAAGCAGGTTGTATACGACAGGGACTGGGCTGAGGAGTGCAGCTTCAGCCCATAAAATCCACTATTATCAAAGCAAGACACTGTTCACAGGGTTGCACCTCTTCAGACTAACACAGAAGAGAAATCAAAATGAACTCCTGGAAGAACAATACAAAAGGGATCTTTTCATTCACTCTGGCGTCTGCAATCCTGCTTGGGTGTGTGAAGAGGTCGCACAAGCTGGGCAAGAGGGGAGTCCGCCCGCGGTTACTCACATCAGTCCTCGTGTCTGGCGGGGGCTCCTGGGGGTTCAGGCAGGCGTGGGTCACCTTGATCACGTGTTCCAGCTTGCGGGGCTGCTCCTCCACCTTGGCAGCCAAGAACAGCGCGGCTGGGGCGATCACCTGGCGGGAGGGGGGGCGCAATTAAACTACTGCTGGGCAGCCCTGACTGCAGTCACCCCATCACAAGAGCATCGTCAAGACTCGGGACAAAACCGCATTCTACAGGGGCTGCTTATCCCCTGTTAACAGAACAGCTGTGTTCCCTCGCTATCCTGTGTGCATCTCATCAGTACAGACCTGCTGGAGGTTACAGTTACATTGTGCGATGGGAAGCTCAATGCACCAGGCAGAGATAGTGCTGCAACTGCAACCAATTTACTACAACTACAACCCCAGCCGTTCTATTATTCAAAGTGACTCAAAAAGAAGTGGCAAATATGAAAAACCCAGTACTTGTAGAGGTTGCAGCAGAACATTCACAGCCTCACTTCAAGGAGAATCACAGTGGCACAACAGACAAGGGTACTTACATTCCTGTGGAACTTGGTGAAGGACTGGATCATATAGAAGCGGTGCATGTACACAATGGCAGTGTTGATGGTGAGCTGGGAGCTGGAAGGTTTTGGTTAAGGAAATGTCCAGAGAAACATTCACCGGACTGGTAACCTTGCATTTTCATGAACAATTCCACACTGACGAACAGACCACTGCAAACCCCTCCCCTCCATCAGGCAGTACAACAATGCTTTTCCTACTACATTGACAAATTCTTAGTAGATACTAATTGTATAATAAATAAATACTATCAATGAACAATTAGGTCAAGTAGAACAAGTTACACAACTCAGTAAATAAGATGTTTAAATACATCACAAACCATTTGAAGTTAAGTAGCAGAGCAGAACTACAGTATGGCTAATAACAACAAAATAAACTTCCATGTCTGAGATAAATATCCTTACATAAAAGTCCAGACTGCCAATCAGTATGAGCAGTCTCAAGAATATCACACTGATATTTCACAGTCATCGCCAACAACATCAGAGCAGAAGTTCCAAATTAAATGAGGCCATACAACCCATCTAACTTGTCTGGCTGCTATCCAATTTTCAGCCAAACCAGAAGGTCAGTTTTCAGTGCAATTTATTTCAGAATCAAACATACAAGGAGCTTCCAGGCAACTGTGACTACATTAAAGCATGTACATTTATATGCATGATTAAAAATGACGTAAATAGTAGAACTTTCTTCAGCACGGTATCACATAACTTAAAACTACTGATACCAGACCCACAGAACCTACAACCTACAGAACTTTCCTCTGGCAGATAACTGGCACAGACAACCAATGTTGCTTATTATATCTGACAGGCTCTTGAGCAAAATATCTTACTGAGGCAGCAATTATGTATTTCTACAGGAAGCCATTCAGCTGGGTTTGCCAGCGAAAGGAGAGACAGCTGGTTGATGGGGGAGGCACAGCAACAGTGTCCTAACCTGGAACTTGTTGCCTCTTGTGTAAAAAACAGGACCAGTAGCTGCCCTGAAACTGCACAAGTTTAGAGATTTAGCCTTTAGGCCTTTATGTTTTTGGGCTTTATTCAAATTAATAGATGAAATCACAGGGCCATCTTTAGAAAGATTCTGCAGATTAATGATAAGAAACACTTTCAGCGACACTTAACGGCTCATTCTGATGAGTATGAGCTCAGACTACTCCTTGCGAGGTCCGCTTTGTCTTCTTTCAAGCGTGACCTCGGAGATGGAGGACACAGCACCTGGAGATCCCTGCACGCACCCCTGGGAGCACTACTGCCACCTGCAGCGAGGGGCCGGGGACAACTTCACTCATCCTTACCAGCAGTAAGAATTTAGATTTTACTCATACTTGCTTTTCAGTTTTAACACTCTCAACAGTTCGGCATACCGCCAGCTGCAGATCAAGTTCCTCAGCACCCAGGGATGTCTGATCTATGTAACAATATGATCTGTCTTGCAGGTACCAGAGCGCCAGCCCCTCATGCCAGTTTCACAACAGTGCCAAGAGGTTTCGCCTCACGATTTTAAAGAGAAACAGATAACTGAAGTAAAATTAATGACAATATCTAGTTGCTAAACAGCTGGCAAAGACTTCCTTCATTAAAAACTATTCCTTTAACATTTAATTATGTTTCACGACTACAAATCTGCAAAGGACATTGCTGGGTTACACACTGCAGTTCCCAGCAACTTCTAAAGAATCTTTCCAAACCCCTGTAATGCAACTTTAAAGCACGACCACAGACCTTCAAGCAGTTTCTCAAAGACAGCCCTTCCTCTCTCCCACACCCCCAAGTGATCAGATAAAGTTTTTTTTTTTGCTTTAGAAGATTTGAAAAGAATCCTTTAGAGATTAATCATAAAAACTACAGCTTTTAAAAAAACGGGAACTGTTACAAAGAACTGAGTTCAACTGTTTAAGTGGCAGCGCACTCTGAACATAAGAGGGAGTCCCATGGGCCGGGCTTGTGTAACTGCCCTGCAGCAGACCACAGCGGAGCTCTCTTTCATACTGTGACCCCAGCAAAGCAGCTCACAACTCGAAGCGCCCAAGATGCACACAGCACTGTGACACTGTAGAGAAAGCAGCACTTTGCCATCACCAGCAGACAGGGACTTTTTATCTCATCACACAAGACTTAAACTGCCCATCACCTTCTAAACAATTTCATAATGAACCAAGTCATTAAGAATTAAATCCAAAAACTCTGCAAACTCCCCAACTCTATATGGACCTACTAGAAATTGATGTCTGGGGGCAGGGGTTCCCTGCATTATTCCCATGTTCAGATTTTCTTAAGAGGCTCCTGGGAGATGCGACCAGGATTTTAACTGGGAAACCTGACATTTTTACCAACAACATAAAACAGCAATCTAAACTACAAAAGTTGGTCAAACACTGAAGAACAGGCATCAGAAGATCACAACAGACAAGGATGGTTTAAGTCATTTAACTGCATTTTTCTGGCAAAACACTGCTGGTTTGGCTGAACCCCTTTATTATTTATAATGGTGATCAACACTTAACAGCCAAGCAAGCAGTTTACACCCTGCAGCAGATCCATCTTAATGCAAAACCAAAAAATGAAATTAAATTTTAACTCCAATTTAAGTAAAAAGTGACAGATCAGACCCTAAATCAAGAGCAGGGGTGAGAATGACCCCAGGCACTGCCTACCATACATGAACTGTAATTTGGAGTCAAATCCAGTGAATTAACTAAAGACACAGGTAGAGAACATGTGTACCTACAGCTCCACAGACATCTTCAGAGTTTCAGAAATATGAACATAGTTTAAAACTAATCTGAACTACTTATTGCAAACATGGCTGCTTGCAATAGCTCTAGCAATGATACCACTGAGAAAACCACTAACAACCAATATCCATTACACTTCACAAAAGAGCAAATGACTGTTGAACACAGTTGGTATTAACACTGTATTTTACAATTAAGGTCATTATTAATAGCTATTAATAAACACACGTTAATTACCAACAGAAATTCCACAATGCAAAACTAACAGATCCACACTGCCTTCACATATTTTACTTTGGGGTACTGTTAATATGCCACAGATGGTTGAGCTGACATTCTCCTATTGATCTAACAGTACAGTCTCAGCAGTCACTTCACATGACATGTCTTTAATACCTAGAACCCTACTAACCACCAAACACAGTACTTGCATTACAATTCACAGCCAAGCATAATTCACCTCATGGAAGCATACATTCTAGAGAGTAAAGCAGTATTCATTTTCAAAAACAAAATATAGCTACAGACAACTACGAGCGTACAGCAGGTGAAGTCACAAGATGCTTATAAACTGATTTACAATTAACAGCCATTTCTGTTAAAAAACATAGGTTTATCCCCCAACATGAATATTTTTGTCACAAAGTTATTCTGAAGATTGAGGTTTCTAAAGCACCCTGGCATGTTTATGTTTTGCACAAATCACATATGATCTAAGGCCACATTTTGTATAACAATCAAACCTTTCTTTCTCTCCATAATACTTTGTAATATTGTAATATCAAGTATGGAAAATATACGTGCATAGAACCCATCTAATATGATAGCCTGCTGTACGGATACCTCATAGTTAACACCTAGAAAATCTCATTCCTTTACCTAGCCCTACTTTTTAGAAAGATTATAGTATGGGTACAATAATCCCTGTCCACCCATGACAGGTGAGATACTCATTAGGGCCTGAGACAGAATCTAACCTTAAAATACATGTAGCATAATTACAATCAAATACCTCTTGCAGCCACTGAGTGCAATTAATTTACTTTACCAAACCCTCAGGACGACTATATTGACAAATACTCCTAACATCAAGCACACAGTAGCTATAATAAAATACTGTTAAAAAGTGATTTAATCACCTTTTGTACCATTCACAGTATTTTTTTAACTGCAGGAAAATAAGGGAACTGGAATTAATTTTCCCATTCTGTGAGGACCTTCAATACCGATCTGTCTTGTAATCCACATTCAAGCCAAGTATCACAGTTAAGTGTATTTAATGCAATATGATGACTACAGAATTCGTCTAAAAGAACGACTCAAGAATACTTGATAAAAATGTTTATTATGTGGAGACGCCGAACTCGAATGCGCCACTGGACTTTATTAATTTCTCAATTATTTACAGTTTTTTTTTTACAGTTATAAACAGGATTCTAACAGTGTAACCATTTTAACCAGGGCTTATATTGACAAACATGAGGCACCAAGACGTGAAATGTATTTCCCTAAACAACCGCTACTTCATGGCTCCAGTAAATATCGCAAACGTCTTTGTATGTGCTATCACAAGGGGACTGTACAGTACATTTCGACTTCCTTAAACATTATAAGCATGAAAACCTCGAAAACGTGTTGTTTTATATGCTGTGAGAACAATGCTGTTCGCTTGGAGACACGCTGACCAGTTAGCGGCAGCGGTGAATTTCTCGCTCCAACAATGAAATAACAGATAAACGTCATTTCTACTAATCGATTCTTAAAACTCCAACCAGATATGATATTTGCAGGGATTAACCCGTCCTCCGGTTGTAAGAGGCCGCCTAAGTCGCCGGAAACACCGGCGCCGGCTTTTGTTATCCAAAACTCCTAGGCCGATGCCGAGGCCTACACTGCTCGGGCCTTAGCAACCAGCGAGAACCCGGCAGGACACCGACTCCACAGTACATGTCGACACGACACCTCTTTCTCTTTTACAAACCTCGCTCTGGACCAGCGTTAATACATTGACACTGCCAAGCCATTCGGAAAACCCAAGCTGAGCCGCCGTATCCATGCCGCCTCACCGGCTTCGCCGTGCTGCGACTCAAGCGCTCCGAGCGCCCCAGTGAAAAGATACACATTAAGCCGCTGCCCCATGTCCTGAAGGAGGTTTGCGGCCTGCTGACGGTACGACAGTTCTTTGTCTGGGTCAAGCCCCATACGGCGAGACGGACTATTTTCGATCTGCTCCCGGGTGAAATACCATTTGCTATTCGGTGAGGAACAAGAAGGAAACGAAGCCGCCATTACTGAGAGGGACAATATAAAAAAAAATACGGCGTCACCGGAAGCTTGCTTGTACGAACGCCACGCTCAGTGCCTTTGATGGAGGCCTCCATTGAACGTCACTTCCGCATCCGGCAATACCTAATGATGTCACCGTCTGGTGTTGTTTTGACCGGCTTTTTGGCTTCGGCTTTTCTTTTCTGGTGTGGTACTGTACCGTAGAAAATCAGAACGGCCACAGTAAGAATAGGCCATGCGGCCTCTTTAGTTGTATTTGCCTATAGCCCCATAGCCAGTACTGGTTGTACTGTAAACACCCCCTCAAATCTGAAATTCTTAGAGTCGTTCAAGTAGGCAGCTGCGTCAGCATGTGCAGGCTGTTAAAGAACAAGTAAAGGTTTATTCCATGCTGAAAAGAAGAGAAACACAACGTTTCGGCTTTGGAGACTTCAATTTTTTCTCTTTTCAGCAAAGAATAAACCTTTACTTGTTACTTTACAATTTAGAGTCACCAATTGGTCCTTTGGGAGGTGGGCAAAAAAATGGAAATTATTAAGAGGCTGTGAATTCTGGTTCATGTTCCAGATTGGCTTTGATTGTTTAATTACCTCATAAAAATAATATTACTCCTAACCATGCTCCAAAGTGTGTGGTAACTGTGTGGAAAGAACGTTTTGAGTTAATAAGTGTAAAAGTCTTATATATATGTCTACCTACTGCTGGAAAATATTTAGATTATTTGGATAATTGACTCCTCAAATAAGCTATTGACATAAAGAGACAAGGAAAACCTATCTAACCACAAGAGCTGGGGTCAGTCTCTAAATAAATCTACATACCTTTCAATAAATTAATTTCTGGCTTTCATGATTAACACTAATTTGGCTTGTTACAAAACTTTATTCCTATCATCTACACAAGAAAAACTTCCACAGTCTACTTTTTGAAACAGCATCAGGCATTATACATCAAAAAATGTATAGCAGGCAGGTTCAGATTGAATAATAATAACAATTGCTTACACTTACATAGAACTTTTCTGGACACTCCACTCAAAGCGCTTTACAGGTAATGGGGACTCCCCTCCACCGCCACCAGTGTGCAGCCCCATCTGGATGATGCAACAGCAGCCATAGTGCACCAGTACCTCACTACACACCAGCTATTAGGAGGCCATGATTGATAAGGGCCAATGGGAAATTTGACCAGGACACTGGGGTAACACTCTTTTAGAGAAACACCCTCTGATTTTTAATGACCACAGAGAGTCAGGACCTCAGTTTTTATGCCTCATCTGGAGGACGGCACCTTTTTACAGTATAGTGTCCCCGTCACTATACTGGGGTATTAGGACCCACATAGACTGCAGGGTGAGCGCCCCCTACAGGTCCTACTGGTCCCACTAACACCTCTTCCAGCAGCAACCTTAGTTTTTCCCAGGAGGTCTCCCATCCAGGTACTGGCCAGGCTCACACCTGCTGGGCTTCAGTGAAGTGTGGTTGAGGAAGACTGTCTGTAGCCACAGCAGGTGGGGGCTTTGTGTGACCCACACGGTTGGGCACAGGTGTAGGACAGTCTCTGAGGCCTCACACCCCTGCAGTTCTGGATCGTGTGCGTACCACGCAGAAAACGGAGTCCTTGAACGCGTGAGGATGCTGGGCATGAGCTCCAGGGTGGTGTGCGATACAAACCTCTCTGGCTATGGTGCAGCCCCGTTCATGACAACAGTTTTCGTTATTTGTAGGAAATCGGTTATTTGTAGGTTAACCATCTGAGCTACTCACCCAAGACGGCATTGCGAATGGGAAACAATGATACGTAATTTAATTTCCAACCAGCAGGTGGCAGCAAAATGCCATCTTTTATTTTATTTTTCCTAACGCGTCCGGAAAAAGCCGAGAAACGATGGCGATGGTGACGCGAATTCATTTGCCGGCGAGGTACATATAAAGTTGTTTTTAATATTAGCTCCAAAATGCGTTTCTGGTGCACCGATCCATGCAGAATGTGTTTTGTAAATGGCTCTAACTTGGTCCAGCCCCCATTCCCTAACTGAGCCTCTGTCACTCACACCCAGCTCCCTTCTCCATACTGCTGCTATGATATACTGCATAAACGTGACCTGCTGTAATTTTAACACAGCCAACATTAAATGAGCTACACATTTTGAGATCTGTTAAAATTTCCTTTGGCACCAGACAGTTTTCAAGCCTGCACAGACACTGGATTAGTGTGGATACAGGGTAACAGATTATTCTGGTGCACCTGGTGTATTGGTGCATTGGTGCATACTGGTTCTGGTGCATTCCGGTGTTTTCATTGTAGTTCATGTCTGTCCACCAGCAGCTGTATCACCCTGCAGCTCACCACTGGCAGCCCACTGAAGCTCAGCAGGGTGTGAGCCGGGTCAGTACCTGGATGGGAGACCTCCTGGGAGGATGTTTCATTGACCTCCTGGGAAAAACTAAGGTTGCTGCTGCAAGAGGTATTAGTGGGGCCAGCAGGGGGCGCTCACCCTGCGGTCTGTGTGGGTCCTAATGCCCCCAGTATAGTGATGGGTCATTATACTGTTGCAACGCTCCATGGAAAGCAAAGGGCATGACAAGGGACAGGAAGGCGTCATGGCCATCCACTGCAACCAAGGAAGTCTCCAGTCATGACGGCCGCTCGCACCACTGGACCCAGGCTTCTGAGGCCGAGAGAGTGGGACTGCCCCAGTGCAACGGCTTTCCCACCTCAAAAAGCTCTCCTGCACAGGTTTCTTTGTGCAGCTCATCTTCCAAATAGGTGAGCTGCACAAAGTACAACCGTCATCATCGAACACGATAGACAACCATCATGTCTATCCTGGTCTTTTCTGCAGCACCCAGCCCCGGTGCAGCAACACATGAGCGGACCCTCCCAGAGGACTGCTCCTGCAGGGATGACTCATGGCAGCGAGTGTCATGTCTGCTGGTGTCGTGGAAGGAGACTGGGCAATAATGCAGGTTTCCAGTCAGACTCTCCACTGATGAACTGTTGTTGCCTGATGTGATCAGAGGTCAGGATTCAGCTGTACCTCAGACTGAAACAGAGGTTTACAATCAAGTTGAAGTAAAGCACTGCAGCTTTTCCTGGTGGGTACATTATTAGGAGCTGGCCAAGGTGCTAGACAAGTCAGAAGCTGGAACTCACAGACAAACGGCTGATCATTGGAGCTCACACATCATACTCACCAGATCAGCAGAGCTCCCACAACAGCACACCTGGCAGATCAGTAGAGCTCCCACAACAGCACACCTGATAGATCAGCAGAGCTCACATGATCAGCAGAGCTCACACAACAGCACACCTGATAGATCAGCAGAGCTCACACGATCAGCAGAGCTCACACAACAGCACACCTGATAGATCAGCAGAGATCACACAACAGCACACCTGATAGATCAGCAGAGATCACACAACAGCACACCTGGCAGATCAGCAGAGCTCACACAACAGCACACCTGGCAGATCAGCAGAGCTCCCACAACAGCACACCTGGCAGATCAGCAGAGCTCACACAACAGCACACCTGGCAGATCATTGGATCTCGCACAACAGCACCAACAGCAGATCACTGGAGCTCACACAGCTGCACACCTGGCAGGTCAGCGGAGCTCACACAGCTGCACACACAGCAGATCATTGGAGCTCACACTGCACCATCCTTGACATAGAAACACTGGTGGTGCTACATGGACACAGTCAGGCTGGATGCTGTGTTTAGTGAACCACTGGCAGGGAGGTCTAGTTCAGCCCTGTTGGCTGCACTTGGAGTCTTTCCAGTGAGTCACTCTGGAAAGTGAGGGAGCCACTAAGGACTGAGAGAATCTAAGTCTTGAATGTGTGGATTTGACTTGTGTATTTACATTTACAGGTGTTTTTTAACTTTCCCAAGCTGCATAACTGCCGGGGATGGAGGGCAATTAGTTCCAAAGCACATGTTCGTGACACATTTGTAAGTGTAAAAACTTAGTAGAAGTGTAATTTTGTTCCTGGGCAAATGTCTGGTTCCTTGCTGTTCTCCTTCTTCTCAAGAAACTCCATCTCCTTGTAGGAAATACAGGTGCAGTTGCATTTTAATGAAGACATGATCTAGCTACTGTTTTGTCTTCCATAGATTAAAGAAATGTTTTGTTTTCAGAACCAGGAATGTATGTATTTTTTCACTTTTCCAGGCTATTCCTTTACAACTGGAAATATATCTCTTAATTATAAAGATTTTATTTTTTTTCTTGGTTTGTAAAGCACTTTGAGCTGCTATTTGTATGAAAGGTGCTCTATAAATAAAGTTGTTTTATTTTTATTATTATTATTATTGAGAAATAAAGCTGACCTATTCACCCCAGTTGTGTCTCTGCTGTCGAGCAGGTTAGGCTCTTCCAGCAAGTTTGAACTGTGACTTATTCCAAGTGATTCCACATGACTGGCTAAGTGCTGCCTTCAGCAGCTGTATCACCCTGCAGCTCACACCTGTCAGCCCACTGAAGCTCAGCAGGTGTGAGCCTGGTCAGTACCTGGATGGGAGACCTCCTGGGAAAAACTAAGGCTGCTGCTGGAAGAGGTGTTAGTGGGGCCAGCTGGGGGCGCTTACCCTGCTGTCAATGTGGATCCTAATGCCCCAGTATAGTGACGGGGACACTATACTGTAAAAAAGGTGCTGCCATTCGAATGAGATGTAAAACTGAAGTCATAACTCTCCACAGTCATCAGAAATCCCAGAGCGTTTCTCGAAAAGAGTAGGGGTGTTAACCACAGTGTCCTGCCCAAATTTCCCATTGGCCCTTACCAGTCATGGCCTCCTAATAATCCCTATGTATGAACTGGCTTCATCACTCTGCTCTCCTCCCCACTGAGAGCTGACTGGAGTGAACGTACTGGTGTACTGCACGCTGCTCTGTCCAGCGCATGCTGTGTAGAGGTGTAAAGTGTTAAAAGGCTCAATAAAAAAAGGTGGCGACCCCCCAGCCCCCACGTGGGTACATGGACCATAGCAGTGAACTAGGGTGATTAGCTGTTTGTATGACTTTTTTAAAGTCTGCCTGGATTTAAAGAATCAGTTTTAAAATATCGCGATTT